CACATTCTTCTGGGCCCTCAAAGCCTGGTGTTCTCATTCTCGCATCATCCTAGACAGCAGCAGTGGGAACCCTCCCAGGTTTTAATAGAGGAGGAATTGAAGGATGTCTGAGTGGAGCCCCAGTTTCTAGACCCCTGGTTCCTTCCCGCACCCCAGCATTAGACTTGGAAACTAGAAGCTACCCTTCCTTGCCATCTTGCGGGACATTTCCCTTGCTTCCCTGGTCTTATTTCCCTCAGTTACAGTCTCCCTGTCCTGAGGAGCCAAGTGAATTTTGGGGAAAGGGGAAGAGATGGTGAAGGGAGTGGAGATGGAAAAGGCTGTGACCAGGAACTGATGCGGTGCTTTCCCACTTCCCCTTCCTAGACTCAAGCTGAGGAGGGGGAAATGGTGGTGTCACAACAGTCTCTTCCGTCAGAGCTCAAGTTCAGCCTGCCCTCGTGTGCTCTCTGCCGCAGCCCAGCCTCAGCCTTGCCCCACCTGTCCCCAGCAGCCTGTCGTCTGGCTGGGGTGGGCAGGACCTGCTGGACAAAGCTGGATCTGTTATAGAGGACAGCAGCCAGCCCCCCCCCGCCTGGAGTCCTCTTGGCCTGCTGCACCTCCACCCTGCGGTGTTTCCTTCCCTCCGTCCCTTATCTATATGCTACCCCTGGACCTTAGGGTGAGGAGTTAGTGTTAGGGGAGAAACGGTTAAGTAGCCTGCTTTCCTTATTGAGGTTAGCAGGTGAAGTCACTTGCCCAAGTTCATGATTCTTACAGAACCAGCCTGGAACCTGGGGCTCCTTCTGTGACCCATGGAGTCAGAATGGCAGGGCTGGGACTTCAGCCCACATCACCCTCACCTGGAGTCCAGTGTCCTTTTGATCACTCTGTAGTGCTATGGAGTGTGCGTGAGAGAGAGAGAGTGAGGGGGGAGAGACATGCGATGGGGGCTCTGCTATCTGAAGCTCTCTTCTCTCTGTCCTTTGCTCCATAGACCCTAACAGCCACTTCTGTCATCCCCTAGTTTGCTTCTCTTCTGTCCCTCCATCTGCCCCCTTCTCTCCCTCACCATTATTTCTTCTTCCCCTGGAAGAAATCCTCCATGAAACCAGTTAGGTTTTCATATTCCTAGGTCTACCTCCCTCTCACCCGCTCTTTAAAAACAACTTAATTGAACAATTTAATACCACAGTTCTCAAAACTTTAAACTTATTGAGTAAATGAGCCTTTGTCCTGACTTATCCTGAACAACGAAGGAGATTCTCCTTTTGTACCAGGCTCTGTGTAATGGCTTAAACAGTTGGCACAGACTATTAAAAAT